TAAAAAAAAATATATTCACTATTATAAAAGGAACTACTATCCAGATATTCTTAAGAACCTCATCATACTAAAAATATTCACTATTATAAAAGGAACTACTATCCACAAATATTTTTAAGAACTTCGTCATGCTAAAAATATCCACTCCAAAAGTTTTTCAAGAACTACTATCCACAAATATTTTTCAAGAACTTCGTCATGCTAAAAATATCCACTATTATAAAAGAAACTACTATCCAAAGATATTTTTCAAGAACTTCGTCATGCTAAAAATATCCACTATTATAAAAGGAACTACTATCCACAGATATTTTTCAAGAACTTCGTCATGCTAAAAATATCCACTATTATATAAGAAACTACTATCCAAAGATATTTTTCAAGAACTTCGTCATGCTAAAAATATCCACTATTATATAAGAAACTACTATCCAAAGATATTTTTAAGAACTTCGTCATGCTAAAAATATCCACTATTATAAAGAAGTCATACTAAAAAAACTACTATCCAAAGATATTTTTCAAGAACTTCGTCATGCTAAAAATATCCACTATTATATAAGAAACTATTCCAAAGATATTTTCAAGAACTTCGTCATGCTAAAAATATCCACTATTATATAAGAAACTACTATCCAAAGATATTTTTAAGAACTTCGTCATGCTAAAAATATCCACTATTATATAAGAAACTACTATCCAAAGATATTTTTAAGAACTTCGTCATGCTAAAAATATCCACTATTATAAAAGGAACTAATCCACCTACTATTATAAAAGATATTTTTCAAGAACTTCGTCATGCTAAAAATATCCACTATTATAAAAGAAACTACTACTATCCAAAGATATTTTTCAAGAACTTCGTCATGCTAAAAATATCCACAAATATTTTTAAGAACTTCGTCATGCTAAAAATATCCACTATTATAAAAGGAACTACTATCCACAGATATTTTTCAAGAACTTCGTCATGCTAAAAAATATCCACTATTATATAAGAAACTACTATCCAAAGATGTTTTTCAAGAACTTCGTCATGCTAAAAATATCCACTATTATATAAGAAACTACTATCCAAAGATATTTTTAAGAACTTCGTCATGCTAAAAATATCCACTATTATAAAAGAAACTACTATCCAAAGATATTTTTCAAGAACTTCGTCATGCTAAAAAAAATATCCACTATTATATAAGAAACTACAATCCAAAGATGTTTTTCAAGAATCATGCTAAAAATATCCACTATTATATAAGAAACTACTATCCAAAGATATTTTTCAAGAACTTCGTCATGCTAAAAATATCCACTATTATAAAAGAAACTACTATCCAAAGATAATTTTCAAGAACTTCGTCTTGCTAAACATATCCACTATTATATAACAAACTATATCCAAAGATATTTTTAAGAATTGAGTCCGATATATCCACTGTTATTAAGAAAATAACCCATTATTAAAAATTTATTATTTTTTTTTTCAAGAATTCACTAAAAAAACAATTATAAAGAAACTAATCCAAAGATGTTTTTCAAGAATCTGTCATGCTAAAAATTCTAAAACTATCCAAAAATTTTTAAAATGTCATTTAATTATGTCATTCAAGAAGTCTTGCTAAACATATCCACTTTTATTTGAACTACAATACATATAATTTTCACCGAGCCATTATTAGGCGATGCAATGTTTATTCAAATAATCCCAAAAAGAATTTTTTTGTTTACTTTATAAAATTCGCATTCTAAAACACCAAAATGATTTAATCAAACCTGTAGATGAAGATTCAAAGATTCCATATCAAACCTGTAGATTAGTCAATACAGATGCCAGACTTCTTGTTATTTTTGTATACCTGAAACCGGAAGACCTGCATGGCCTTCGTTAAATCTCAGCTAAAAAAATAAACGTACTCACATGATGATCGATTGATAACCACGACCTGACAGAATAATCAGTACGAAAAAGACAGTCTTCGTACAAAAAACAAAACTCTCGGATTACGAACAAAAACATATACTTGACAGGTCTGATCGGTTTGACTGTGCCGCTTAGAAAAATGGCCATTAAAGAAATACATCGTGTCATCATCCATATGGAAAATTTTGCATATTTCTAGACGTGCAATCAAAGTTAGCCATAAAGTTAATTAGATTTGTTGCTTTAAAAATTGTTTTGAGGAAAACTTTTTTTAATTTATAAAGTTAAAAAAATATTTTTTTATATATTTTAAGAGGGGAAAAAAAAAAGGTGGTCAGACAGTTGACTCGGGAATATATTTTTAAAATGTGACAAGTGCAATTTTTTTTCATTCTAATTTCTTTTCGGATATTCTCAGCCATTTATCAGCTGATGAATATATAAATAAACAAGAAAATTGTTTTTTTTATAATTTCTACATTTATTATTAAACATAGAAAAAATATTTTTGTAAGATATATATACCGGTAATTCAAAAATTAGGTGGAGGTAATAAAAAAATATTATTTTTAATGTGATAAATAATTAATAATGAAAAATTGCAAAGATTTTTAAAGAAAAAAAAAACATTAGAACAGAAATATATATTAAAACTAATTTATTATAAAAGAATATTAAATTATTAGAAATATATATTAAAACTAATTTATCAAAATGTGACAAGTGCAATTTTTTTCATTCTAATTTCTTTTCGGATATTCTCATCCTTTTACGAGGTTATGAATACATAAATAAATAAATAAAAATAATTTTTTCAGAATTTCTGCATTTATTATTAAATATAGAAAAATATTTTTTGTAAGATGTCTACAGGTAGTTCAAAATTAGGTGGAGGTAATAAAAATTTATTTTTAATATAACAAATAATTAATAATGAAAAATTGCAAAGATTTTTAAAGAAAAAAAAACATTAGAACAGAAATATATATTAAAACTAATTTATTATAAAAGAATATTAAATTATTAGAAATATATATTAAAACTAATTTATCAAAATGTGACAAGTGCAATTTTTTTCATTCTAATTTCTTTTCGGATATTCTCATCCTTTTACGAGGTTATGAATACATAAATAAATAAATAAAAATAATTTTTTCAGAATTTCTGCATTTATTATTAAATATAGAAAAAATATTTTTGTAAGATATATATACCGGTAATTCAAAAATTAGGTGGAGGTAATAAAAAAATATTATTTTTAATGTGATAAATAATTAATAATGAAAAATTGCAAAGATTTTTAAAGAAAAAAAAAACCGTTAGAACCGAAATATATGTTAGAAGTAATTTATTAAAATAATTTCCTACAAAAAATATTTTGATAAAAATACGGATAATTAATATTTTTAATTGAACTCAAAATAATAATAATTAATATTTTAAATGAATTTGTTCTCTTTTTATCACAACTATTTTATGAAAAACATATAATTATTTTTAATGAAATTAGCAAGTATATTAAATCTTAATTACAGACTGCTATTTTTCTATACAATTTAGTAACAAAAAAAAAAAAAAAAAATTCTCCGAAATGGAGTTTTTTTAATAGTGCCGAGTTTTCCTTCATTCGTTTTTAATTATAGCCCATCGTGAAATTATTCCAATTTTACAAACTTCTATTTACGAAAAGATGGAATTTTAATTTCATGCAATTTTGCTTTCAAGTGAAAAGCTCCAATTATGATATTTTAAGAAGAAAAAAAAAATTAAGTTGAAATAAAAACATTTTTTGTTTATATGAAAAATCTGCAATATTTGTTAAAGAACATCTGAAATATTTTTTATTCTTAAAAGAAGTATAGAAAGAAAAATCCAATTATACTTCATAGGAATACTTAGTTAAAAAAAATCATTTAATGGCATTATTTTTAAAAAGTATATCAATAAAAAATAAAATTAATAATACTATTTTTAAATGAATAATCATGAATCAATAATTATTATAAGAAATAATCTATTCTAAATATGCCAAGAAATATAATAGCATTATTATTAATTGTGTTACATTTGAAAAATGTATTACCTGAAAGATATTGGAAAGCAAGTTATGGTCAACAACTAATATGATGATTTAAGAAAAAGTTTCGAGACAAACTCAATTGTCCTAACTATGATAAAATTCTTTTATAGAAGCTCAAGGGGAAAAAAACCCCACAATTCTATTAAAATATATTTAAATCCAAGACCAAAACATTTCAGGTTTTAACATTATTTTTAATGTATATGCGTGACACAATAGAGTTTTTGCATACCGTACGTTAGTTACCGTAGGACGTCCGTTAGCTTTTTCTCCCTAGCGCGCATGCTCAGAAACTGAGCATGCGCGCTAGGGAGAAAAAGCTAACGGACGTCCTACGGTAACTAACGTACGGTATGCAAAAACTCTCTAATAATTAAAAAAGGTATGAATATTATATAAAGTATAGGAAATTGCATTAATAATGTATTTATTGTCCTGATTTAATTTACATACATAGATATTTATCCTTTTTAATTGAATACTAAATAATAATAATAATATATAATTAATATAAATAGACAACTATGATTAGACAACAATAAATTAATTTTAAAAATTAGTAAATTAAAATAAATTAAAAAATAGTTAATTATAAATTAATATAGTAACATAAAATTATTATATATATATATATATATATGTAATATCAAAAATAATTTTGTTATAAGAATAGTATTACTCTAAGAAAACGGAAAGTGAATTGTACCCAATCTGTTGTTTGTTTTGTTGTTGTTTCTTATCCCACTTGGCTGGCCAAGCCCACGAGCCCATAGGGACTCATGATTGAAGGGGAAGGAAGCAGCTTCTGTTGTGATGGAGCACCCGTAGGTAGAAGCCTGACTTTTGCTCCGTGACGCTCTTACAGTCATAGAAGACCGGGACCTACGGCTTAAAGTGGATTCCGAACCACTACAAACATCCATGGCACCGCCGGGATTCGAACCCGAAACCTGTGGCACCGAGCGCCAGACACTCGGCCATTCAGGTCCCAAATTTGCCAACGGCACGCGGTGTTCCCAGGTGGTCACCCACCCAAGTACTGACCGCGCCCAATGATGCTTAACTTCGGTGATCTAACGAGATGTACTCAATCTAATATTACTATGCACGTTATTACTGGATTAGTCCAACTACTAATCCCGTAATAACGTGCTTATCTAGAATTTGAGTTTGATTCCTGTAAGTGCTGCATTTCTTAGTTGAGAACCACATTGGCGATCATGATGGGATATCTATCCAAACGGCTTGATCGCAATTTTCATTTCCTTCTATATCATACACAAATGTTGGTTTTTCTGGAAGTCCTTTAAGCAGACACAGGTCTTTGTAAAACACTGACACACAAAAAAGGAAATCCCCTTAAATATGTTGTCAACAAATTAACGGATTTCATAGACCAGAAAAATAAACAATATATGCACCCAATTTTGAAATTTATTTTTAATAAAACTGCAATTTTTTAACTAGAATTTCACAGGTTTGGTTTTTGTCGCGCTACGGACATTTTGTGCACTTTTTAGGTTAAATAGACCGGGACCTACAGTTTAATATGGATTCCGAATCACAAAGAAACATCCATACCATCGCCAGGATTTGAACCTGAAGCCTGCGGTACCAAAGGCCACAGTGCTAGCCAATCGGCCACCAGGCCGCAGAATGTCATAAGAGATTTATTCTACCATTTAAATATCCATTTTTTTTATCTAATATTATTTAATTCTATCCATTAACTATAAATTGAAAAAAAAAAAAAAAAAACACCAAGAGTACTTTGATATTTAAATTACTGAATTTATTAATCCAAATAATAAATAAGAACAATTTTAATAATTAATACTACAATGCTACAATCAACAACAATAACTATTATAGTATACTACAATATCATCAAACAATGAAATGATACAACGTATTAGTTAAAAAAAGAAACGATTCTCAAATTTTAACGAAAATTCATACTACTTATTATGTATCCTTACTAGAAAACAAGTCCATCAAGATCAACGACTTTCAAATGGTACCGTAAAAAATTACAGTGAAAAAAAACTTGGGTAAAATTTTATACCTCTGGTTTAACTTTCCCACAGACGCATACCACAGAAGAGGATCCTCCATGAATGGAATACTTGGAGAGACACAATGGGTGGCTCAGATAAATGCCAGTTAATGCAAACAAGTAAAAGTTTTAAAACAATGGCCAGATTTCTGCGCCTGTCAAATAAAGAATGCTTAATTATGTCTCCAGCGGCTTAATTTGAATTTTAAGTGCAGAGCGATGAAGCATGCGATTCTTCATCTGTTACGCGATGTCCCTTCATTTTCATTTGAGTGGGTATTCATTCGATGCTTAGTGTAAAATTATCAAAATGGGTATTCACCTAATAAGTAATATTTTTCTTGGTTCAATTCTTTTTGCAGAGACTGCGCACAACAATTTTTCTGTGCTATCTGGCGATTTTTGGATGAAATTTGTTGAGTGTGTAATGGTTTATTACCATTGCACTTATCTTTTCTTCCGTTTAATTAAAATTATCAAAATGCAAATGAATATATATACTACTAAAGTTTTATACAACTAATAAATTATATTTCATTGACTTGGATAATCTTTATATTTATAATTCTTCTGTGCATGTTTGTGTAATTCTTCTGTATGTGTGTTTGTCACTGAACACCTCCTAAACGGCTGGAGCGATTTGGATGAAATTTGTTGAGTGTGTTTGAGTGGGTCCCTGGATGGTTTAGATTCACAATTGGAACAGGTAGGTGGTGCTACAATCGATATATATATATATATATTATATATATATATATATATATATATATATATATATATGTATATAATCGGGTTTTTCTGTACGTGTGTTTGTCACTGAACTCCTCCTAAACGGCGGGACTAATTTTGATGACATTTTTTGCGTGTGTTTGACGCAAAGAATGTTTTTATCGGGTTTTTCTATGTGTCTTTGAACTTTAAATCATGACACCAGATGCTGCTGAAGAATGTTTTTATGCTATCCCCTTTGTTTAAGTCGCCACCAGATGATCTATCAAGTTCTATACCGTTCAACCAATCGCTATGAAAATGGGTAATAATATGCATTCGAATATGGAAAAATAGGTTCGCGCTATCCGCTTTATTTTTACTTGCCACCAGATGGTGCTTCAGCATTTCATCTTATATGTAGTTCAAACAATGTCCATGAAAATTAGCATGCACATATAGTGAACATGGAGAATATATTCGCGTTATGCAATTTTCTACAATGCTTTTTTTTTTTTGGCAGAACAATGTATGCCGGGGTCTGCTAGTGTAATTATAAGTATTTAATATTATATTACCTAATAGTGCAACTACTATGGAATCTAACGAGATTTAAAGTTTTTGCAGCATGCTCGTGTTGTAAAAGGCATCAATCCTGTTGAATATTAAAATAAGAGAGTATAATATGAGAAGTTTATATTGATTTTTAATGTTCTGTTTGAGCTAATGATTGGCCCAGCAATCCATTGATCTGTTGACAACATCTTCTGCTGGCGCATCAACAAATTTCAAATTCACAACATCGTTTCAACAATTTAATAAAATGATTTTTTATACATAAATAACATCAAGTTAAGTAAACGATTCTTTTCCTTTTAAAATTTCGATTTATATTCAATGTAATTATAATTAAAAGAATTCATCAATATAAATAAATACCATCTAAAGATAAAATGTAAAATCTATAGCAAGGTAAGTATAATTCTATAATAAATTGATACTACAGATATGACACTTTACGCTAGATAATATGATACTAATTTGCACAGATACGATCAGATAACAGTAATATGAAAATTAGAAAGACATGACAATTTATCTTTGGAATACATATATTTATTTTTGAAACAAATTGTCAAAACACAAAATTTGTGAATTTTAATTTAAATATACTATAGTAAAATTTAAAAATTTTTGTGCATTGTTATACAAGCTTTCAAAGAATGAACAATCGTAATTTAATTTAAAAAAAAAAAAAAAAAAAAAAAAAAAAAAAAAAAACTGCATACACATCACACAATAAAGTGCAAATAAAAAGAATCAATTACACATTGTATTGAAAAAAATTTTGCAAATTATGCATCGTAAATATATCTATTTAAATATCCATTTAAAAAAATTTAAAATTTAAGTGATTTGTATAAATATTAAATCAATGAATCATATTTTATCAACGATAAAATAGTAATTATATCATTTTTTTTTTTTTTTCGATATCAGTATTTCGACATGCAAAAATTACAATCTCTATATTCTTCCTACGTTTTTACTAAAATTTAATTAAAATGGAAAAAAAAATTGAGTTACATTTATGTGATTAGTAAAAAAAAATAATCATGCGTATTAAAACATAAATTTAAAAAGAATTTCGTCTTAGTTTTTTTTCCCGCTTTGCAATAATTTTAAACTTGCTTACAAAAAACCCTACTAGAGCCATCAATAAAAAGCAAGTGCAATAACAAGGCAAAGATCATTACAACCCTAAGTACGAAATGAAACGTGCAACATATAAAACTGTTTGAAAGGAGAAGTTTATGGGACACAGGGTCATGCCTCTCTCTCCAACATAACTTCGGCCATTATCCAACTTGAACAATGGAGGAACCAAAAGCCACTGACAATGGTTCCCCACCGGAAACGCAAATAAAAAGGCTTCACAGCACTCTGCCAACTTCTTTCGTGTTCGCCACCAAATGTGAGGTTTCCCTCGTAGAGTTCGTCAAGTCTGCTGCAATCATTTTTTGAACACAATAACAGAACATTTTCCGAACACAATAAAAAAATTTTATCTTACGAATTGAAATCGTAATGATAAAATTTTTTTTAGAAAGTTTCATTCCAAAGTTCATGTTTGGATCTATTCCAATATTTTGCAAATAGCTGAACATGGCTGAATGGGTTTCGGAAATTGCTTTAATATTTGAGGGAGAATATTGAAAAAGTTTTATTATAGCTGCAACACAAATTGCTCTCGATATTCAGAGCAACCGTAGCACTCTGCCAACTTCTTAGAACTTTATTAAGACTTTTAAGTTCACTTCTTAGACTTTTCAGAATTTTCTCATATCATATTATGATCTCACGTTACGAAGTTTATATAACTGCAAACAATATTTTCTTTTTCGGTAATTATAATATATATATATACATATATCTAGCGCTCGGTTCTCTAGGTTTTGGATTCAAAATCCTAGCGGTGCCATGTTTGTAGTGGTTCGGCATCCACGTTAAAACCGTAGGTCCCAGTCTCATATGACTTCTACTACACCACATCACATCACTGTGAGTAGAGCTGAGTTACCCCTTTACAACTTGGGAATAATGTGGGTGAGAAGAAGTCTGATTGGGCTCTGTGACGCTCTACGGTCATGTGAGACCGGGACCTACAGGCTTAATGTGGATTCCGAACCACTACAAGCATTCATGGCATCACAGGAACTCGAATCCGAAAACTTTGACATCGAGTGCCAGAGCTCTAGACACTCGGCCATTCGGGCCCCGGTCTAATATGATTGTATAGGGTATTAAAAATATTTCGGAACATGCAGACGGCCATGATCTAACATGTACTGTAGTGACGGGAAGTTTTATATATATATATCTATATATATATATATAACACTGTCGTATTTATCCGTTAATCATCAAACACTTATGACTAATATATCATCAAAAAAATTGTTATGTAACAAAACTTTTATACAAATAAATCAATTCGATGTTTTACTAGAAGATTTATCGTTAACGAACCTTATGTTCATTGTATCAATTCACTTTTTTTTTTACACAAACCCATATTACTTTAACAATAATAAAGTAACATTTCATATTAATTATATTCGTATTCTAACCACCAATTATAAAAATTATTATCTGAAAGTTTAATGATCTTCAAACTTAAATTATGAAAACCTTCTAATTAATTGTTGCTAACTGTGCATAACGGAGGTGGAAATCTATGAAACTGTAAGCATGGTGCATTTCAAAAGAAATAAAAGGCAGATGGGGAATATTCAACACAATTAATAATCCATGCATC